TATATATATATATATATATATATATATATATATATATATGTATATATATATAATAACAATAATAATAAAATAAAAATTTCACAATTTTGATTATTATTTTAATTATTGTTAGTTTTTTTGTTTATTATTGTATCGAACATTTAATTTTTTTTTTAGGTTATCTATCTAAAAGTCCTGTTGATTTTAATTTTTTCTACGAATGTTTTTATGAAAGTCAATCGCCATTTACTGATAAAATAAAATCAATTGTTGATGAACAAAATAAACGATGGTTGTTTGATGTTTGGGAGATTTCGATTAACAATGGAAAAACTACTTATGCAACTTCCTATGAGAATTATTTTGTAAATTATTACATAAAATCTGGAAGAAAGTTAAAGCGGTTAAGTGTTCATAAAAATATTTTAAGTGATGAAGAAAGAAATCTTTTAATTCGATGTTCGACTAATGTTTGTTGGGTCGGCTTTCACCGTCAAATTAATTTCGAAGGATGGAAACTAAAAGATACGATTGAAAAGTTGTATATAAACATCTCATTTTATTTAATAACAAAAAAAATTTTTGAAGAAAACTTTCTTCCTTGAATTAATCTTTGTGAAGGATTAAATCTTAAACTTCACGACGACATTGATTTCATTAAAGACATTTGTAAATAGATTCGTTGTTTAAACATCAAGAAGTTTAAGATCTGGTACCGTGGAAAATATTTTCCTAATCTCGATGAGTTAACTTTATAACGCAGAAATATGTTTAATATTTTAAATATATAATATAAAAACAATAATTATATAATATTAAATATTTCATTTAATTCTTAATTTAAATGTGCTGTAAATATACAAATTAATTCAAATATATTAGATGCCAATAAAAAAGTTTAATATATTATTATATTATTAAAATATATAATTAATTCGTTATATAATATATATTTAAAAAAAATAGTTGTTACATAAACTATTAAATATATAATTGTATTTGTGGTACATATTTTTTTTAAATTATTGTTTTTGTAACATTTATACTAATAATAATAATGTTAAACTATAAATAATAATAATTGATAATAATTTTTGCGTAAAATGTAGTTTTTTTTGTAAATAATTTTATACTTTGCATAATTTTTTATGATTCTTTTTCCAATGTTATTTTTTTTTTAATAGTTATATTATGAATTTTTATCATTTTGATTAAAATATTATTGTATTTAATCTTTTGTAACTATAAATGTAAAAACTTAATTATATATTAAAAAGTATTAATTATATATAAATACTAAAATTTAATTAAAAATATTTTAACGGTAATAAACATTTTTCTTATTAAATTTATAATAAATATTTTTTTACTACAATATTTTTTTTTAACTTCAACATTTTATTGTACTCAACGTTCGTTATTATACATGATGTTTACGATAAACTCATGAGTTTTCAGGTTTATTGAAAGTTGAAGAAATTTAATTTTATAATGAAAAAATAAAATTATATTCTGCACATCATAACATATGTGCTAATTTAAATTATTTTTGAAGTTTAAAGTATTCGTCATTTTTTTATTAAGGTTTATATTGTTAACGAAACGAAAAAATTCGAAACTTTGCAGAATTTTTTTGGAGTTACTTTGTTCAAAAGTTAAATTTTTTATTTAACGTTTGCTTCACTAATCAATATATTTTTTTTTAATTGCAATAATATTGCAATTTTATTGGCCAATATTGCCAATAACTTGCAATGGATTGGCAATATATTGGGCAATAATATTGCAATATTGACAATAAAATTGTAATAATATTGGCCAATATCTTGGGCAATAATCTCGCAATAAAATTGCAATTATATTGGGCAATAATCTCGCAATATTGACAATAAAACTCTTTGCAATTCTATTATCGTCTAGCAGCAGCGCTGAAAGTTGACATTTGAAAGAAACATTTATGTACAGTTTCAATTCATACTAAATTCGAATTTTAAAAATTAAATAAACAACTAAATTTAGAATAAATAAGATGGTGTATTTATTTAACACACAAAACATACAAAACACATTACAGATAGAATGGGGGGGGGGGAGGGATAAGCGAAAAACGCTGACAACCCCACACCACAAGAAAAATGTCACTCATTTGTTTAGTCTTCAAACTTTTGTACTACTTTTATTGTCTCGGAAAAATTGATTAATACTCGCCCGAACAACACGCCAGTTGTAAGACGTAAACACTTTGTCAAGTGCACCTTTAACTTCCTGAATTTCTTCATTCTCCATATGAATGCGTGCAGTAGGTCCGTTTGGTTCACAAATACGCGTGCAAGTAAACTCCTTTCCGAATCGCAACAAAATAAATTTTCTTGCAAAGCTACATGGTTCTCGTTTTTGAATGTCGTGCAATTTAAATTCGGCATCAAAACCAGTATACACGGCCTAAAAAGTATAATACAGATAAGTTCGGATTTAGTAAACATTTTTCAATGGATGGTCAAATTATGCAACCTTTTGTATATAAATGTACCTTTCCTTTAGCAATCAATATTTCTTTTATTCAATTTGGTAAATACTAGCAAGTTGTGCTCTCATTGGATGAGCTTTTTTTAATTAAATTACAAAAATTAAATTGACTTACATTATCATTATTTACAGATTCTTTTTCTATTGGGCGCAAAATTTCAGACAACAGTTTGTTGGTCTTCTTTTGTTCAAAAAGAAGTTTCTTTTGTTCAATCAAAATTGCTAATGTTAAAAAAAATATATAGCACTTCTATGTACAAGTACAATATGGTAGAACTTAGGCAAACACAGTATTCATACTATAGGACTGTAACTAACCTTCTAAACAAGATAGTTTGCTTAACTTCGGTGAACCACAGTGTTTTGTTTTAGGAACATCACTAATTATTGGAAGCATCAATGCTCTGGGAGCATCAACATTGTCAAGTAGCATGTCAAGCTTCCGCTTTTCCAAAGCCATAATCTGTGCTTCACTTTTTTTAGATCCTTTTTGACTCTTATAAAATGATGCAAAGGACTCTGATTCTATAAATGAAAAAGACAATAAAAATATGTTCAAGAAATTACATAAACAAAATTGTAATATTAAAATTACCTGAATTTTCATTCAACACTTCATTTACATGTTTTTTTTTCAGCACCTTTGATTTAGGAGTCGATTTATATTTAGGTCCGTTTAGGCCTGTATGTTCTGAGACCGGTGCAATATTCTCTGAATCTATAAAAAACAAAACATGAACAAGTTGTGGTTACAAACATATAATCATGGGTGTACTAGGGGCTAGGCTACTAGTGGATCCAATAGATCCCCACCTACCATCGGATAGTGCAACTTTAACTTGTGTTGATAATTTTTGTGTGAATTTTGTGTCATTTTTTATTATTTAGCAAAAATGTTTAATTAATTATTACTTGTGTAGCAGACATAATAACTAAACTCTGTCTGGTAACAAAGGTAACCTCCTTTTTTTTGACCCAGGGTGCTATTGCACTCCGGCACCATGGTCCAGTTCACCACTACACAGAAGAGTAAATTTTAAATAAAATTACTATAATATTGTCTTGTCATTGTCACATATTTATATTACATAAGTTACCTGAGGATTGGTCTCCATCAGAATGTTTTCTTTTTCCGTCAGTATTGCCTTCAATATAATTGAGGGCAAACTTGCTTACTTCATCAGTGCTAGGATTTTCATCACCAAAATCGTCCATGAAGTTATCTAGCAATGTTTCAAATTTACAGCATTGGGTAATAGACCCCTTATAGATGATGACAGCTGCGTGTTGTATATTTGCAATAGAAACATGCACTACATTTTTCTAATAAGTAAAAAACATTAAATTTAATTATCAACACACCATAAATAGTATAATAAAAGCAGGGGCTTCCATTTTTCAACATCCCTAAAAAGTGGGCATCTAAAATACTTCTTCCATTTTAGGGTGGGCTTCTATATATTCAGCTATGTAAAAAAACAAAAAAAACATTTTTATCTTATTCGTGGGCATCTAAAATACTTGCTTCTATTTTAAGGTGGGCTTCTATATATTCAGCTAATAGCTGATAGCTGATATATTCAGCTAATAGCTGGTATGTAAAAAAACAAAACAAAATTTATCTTCTTTGTCAATTATAGGGAGGGGGGATAAAATTTAAGGGTGGACTTTAATTATATTATGTATGGTAAATGCTGTCAGTTTTTTTTAACACACTTACCACTTGAAATTCAAGGCATTCAACGGATGAATAATGCTTAAAAAGTGTATTTGAAAGTGATATGGGAGAGGTATGCCGCTCATCTTTTTCGCAATTCTTGTACCATAAAAGAACAAACGTAGAAGAAAGCTTTTGAGTGTCTACAAAATCTAATTTCTTTGTTCTATTTCTATCAGGGTAAGTCATTATTTAATAAAATATAAACCTGTAAAAAAATTCAATCAAATTATCAAATTATTTTAAATCAAATTATCAAAATATTAAAAACAAAAATGTTTGTTAGTATAAAAAAACACACATGCATGATGTGAAGCATATTTATTAATTACAAAATTTACATTTAGCCACCCTAAGCATATTCGAAAAGTTCTTTCAATGGTGTCAAAATTAATACATCTTTTGTATCTAATTTACTTTTAATTAATATACATTTGCAGACTAAAGTGTCAGCTGAAATAACAACAATGTTTTTTGTTTGTTCAACAATAAAAAAAAGTCATCATCAAAGTTAATTTCCAAATTTCCAATCATATCACCAAAAGTAGAAATTAACTTACACTTCACATTCAATAGTTGTAACTGAACATGTATTACATTGTCAACTAAAGGAAAATCTAATATGATACCAAACTTATTATGTCCAAATTGACTAGTGTAGCTGTTATGTTTGCCATAACCTTTTGAATGGTAAACAATACCATGTTTCAACAATCTGCCCGGATTTAACAACTGCAATTCTTCTTGTTCAATAATGCCAATATTTAATGCTTTACATTCAAAAACAACAAACTTCAACTTTTTTAGGATGATCTGTTGTTTGCAAAAAACAAGAAGCTGTTTTGAAGTCAAGAAATTTTTGTACAATCTGTTGTGGATGACCATGTGTTCCCTTCATCATTTTTTTATAATTACTTAGCCGAGCTTCAAAACAAAACATTGAGTAATTTGTAACACTTCCATGCATTTTAATAATATCGCTAACATGACCAAGCAAATGAACATTTATAGTATTCATATATAAAGGAAGCAACTCAGACAATGATTTTTGATAAAAGTTAAACAGCTGACTAATAAGCAACACCTTATCTAAACATATTTCACTGCTACACAAACGCATACCAATTACTAGAGAATAAATCATCATCATGCAGTCAGGATTCAAATATGGTAAAAAATATGGAACTGCTAAGTATAAAATAAAGTTTTTAAAGTCATGGCCTTTCCAATGTGCGAATGATTTAATAGTTAATGGCTTGGGCATGTTATGTGGCATTTTTTGATCAGCAAGTAAGATTTCCATAGCATTTAATTTTGCACTACCAATAAAAAATGATTCGTGTTTATTGGTAACAGAAAATAAACAAACTAAAAGCTTTTTTGAGCAATTTTTGTAAAACAAATGTAACACATCAATAAGTATCATATCTGGCACTTTAATAAATGAAATGTCACTAAAGATGTTTGAGCCTTTAATTCCAAATACAGATACTTTTGATTTTTCGGCTAATCTAGCATATATGGCATACATTTCAGATGTTTTAAGATTATAACTTGTATCTGAATGTGAATAAATTCTAGCGGAACCATGTTTTCTTTCAATTGTTCTACCAGGATGTTCGCAATAGTGACATCCAAATTCACCATTATACTGCTTATGATTGATGATTGAAGCCACTGCAGGCAAATCGAAAACAAAACCAACAATATGAATAACTACTTGGATATTGTTAATTTCAAGGGGTGTTTCAAACAGTTTTCCATTGATGTACTCCTAAAAAAAAGTTAGTAATATAGTAACGTTGCCCAATTTATTCTTGTCACGGCTGGAACAGTGAATTCTACTACTATAGGTAATTCCATTGACAACTACTTTTAAAATAAAAAATAACAATCAATAATTTAATTACCTTTAAATAAGCATTCCAATTAGGTTTTAATAATGAGAACCATAAACCAAGAAGTAGTGTATTTTCAAATAGGAATCGTTTATAAAATGGTAAATCTAAAATAATAGCATGAAATGGCCACATTGTAATCTTTTTTTTTGTGTATGGTTCTCCACCATCTGTTGACATCAATAAATGAATATGTAAAACATTTGCAGACTTCATATTTTCAACAAAATTTGGTCTAGAAATAAAATCACTCTTTCTTTTACCTGACATAATTTCCAATTGATATGATTTAATTGCATCCAAATTCAGAAATAAAACAAGTTTCATTTGGCTAATGATATCCAATATAAAGATATGGGATGAACAATGAGTATTTATTTTACATGTGTCAACTAAAGCTGTGCAGCAATTATGACAATAATATTTATGCGTTGGTTCAGTATGGGAGAATATATTTTTAGTAACAAATCTACGAATCATTTTATGAGATGACGGCATGTCATTTATACAGCGAAAAATCTATTAAAAAAATTTAAAAATTAAAAATATATTTTTTCAAGCTTTATCAACCAAACTAAGCCTGGGCCAGACCCCAGCCTCAAGTTGAAATAAAAATATGACATACTTCATTATTTTTATAATTTAATAATTTGTAAAAAAAATAATTTGTAAAAACTATAGATATAAAATATATAATATATAATTGTAAAATATTATATAATATATAATTTGTAAAAAAAGTCGGATAAAATTTTCACAAGTAAAATGTTTTATAATTAGGAACGTTCTGCATTACTTTATCAGACTTTTTTTACGAATTATTGGCAATGTGCACCATTTCTGGTAGCAGCCAGAGATAAATAGCCAGATCAACATTTATTGCTAAGGACTAAGTTGATTGATAATTTTATTAGCTTCACAATATTCATTTACAAGTACATTGCACAATTTAAACTACATCTAACATACCAGCAAAGTCTTCAAAAATCTATCAAATGCGATTTCAGTAAATGAATTGCTAATCATTAAATACAACAAGGTTAAAAACATAAAATTTTTGTTAACAATTGAATCCAATAAAGAACATTCAAATGGATTAGAACTAAAGAACTGAAACATGGAAGCACTCGATTCTTCCTCAGATACTAGAATTTGATTTTCTTCCTCAGATACTATAGATAAAATTTCTTCTGTCTCTTGGGTAAAACTACCATCATTAACATTATCATCTGTATTGCTACAGTCGGACTGAGAACTACTATTAGTAATTTCCTCTTCAGAAGAAGTAGACTCAGCCGTAAAATGTAAAGTTCTTCTCTCGTACTTTCTATTAAAAAAATTTCGTTTCATTGCACATATATTCACCATTAATAAAATTTTATGAGTCTTTACTTATAAATAACTATGTTATTTTTGCACGGGTATCTTGTGTGGCCAGACAGGTTTGCTGGGCTCATGCAAGCCATGTCTAACGTGCGCCGAAGAAACCTGCCTGGCCGCACTTACACTGCAGTATAAAGTCCAATGAAAGCATGCTTGTAACTTCAGTTATAATCATAAAGTCGATTACCTAATATTAGTTGCAATAATATTGCAATAATATTACAATTATATTGCAATTATATTGCAATTATATTGTAATATTTTAACAACAATCTTGCTACTGCTTGTAAACCCATTAAATTTATGTAAAACAAAAAAATGACACAGGCAATTAGATAAGCATCAGAATTATTTATATTTAAATGCATCTAAATTACATTTACAAACACATTACATTTGTATAATTTTATTGATATTTTATTGGACAATTAAATGAGCAATATATAGCAATTTAAATTGAATGCGCAATAATATTGCAATATGTTGTTATAAACCGCAATATATGTCGATTAGTGTTAACTGTACATTAGAGATAAAGTTTTTTTTCGTTGATCTTCGATCAAAATGTTGTTAATGACAATTATTTAAAAAAAAAAAATTAATCTTTACTAAGGTCGTAGGACTATAAAAAACGATTTTTTGAAAAAGTCCTTGAGACCTTAATTTTTTGTGTGTAAAAACGGTTGTCGAGATGGTAACAACATCTTTTTAGTAAAAGTTTTGATAAAATTATCAATACAAATTCAAAATGGCCGAAAAGATACTAAAAATTGCATAGTTTAAGTGCTTTTCTGTTAAAACATAACTTCATACAGAACAACATAACTTCATACAGAATAAACAATTTCTAATAGCGTTTGGTAGGATTGGATATCATCATTATATAAATCATTAAACAGTTTCTTTATACAAACTCATGCTTTAGTTTTTATAACAAATTTTAGCAATACAACAACTTTGGTGAAAATATTTTTGAGTTTTAACTGTATTACATGATATTTTAAGTTATTTGACGTTTAACAATAAACGCAAAAGTTAAATGAAGCAACTATTATATATGTAAACCTGATGGTTTCAAGTTATAAGAATATTGGAATGTCAAGAAATCAAGTTTTGAAATTAGCCAAAGAGGAAAAAATTTGAAACGCGTTAAAAACCAGCTAAACAAAAAAAAAAAGTAAAAAAAACTCAATAACCATCAGCTTTTTAAATACCAAAAGCTTCCTTTTCTTCTAAATTAACAAAATATTTTTTTGGGGGAGCAAGACTTTTTCTGCACCGTTTATTTTATTTATTTTCTGCACCGTAATTGCAGTCGCCTTTTTGTTCCTTTGATTTATTCGTAAATTACATGGATTTGCTAAGTTATAAGTACATGTTTACAAAGTTATAAATGCACTCTTGCAAAGTTTTAAATGCATATATTTTTTTTGGAAGCTATTTTTTTTAGTTTTTAAAAATAAATTATATTGCGCAAAATAATAAATTAAATTACATATATTTTATTTTTTAAAACTGAAAAAAAATATAACTTTGTAAACATGCACTTTGCAAAACCCTGTATCTAGCTTATTAGTCATGTTTTTCAAAATAACTTCGCTCAAGACGAAGTGCTCTAAAACTGTAAGTGCATTATTGTAACTATCATTGTAATGAATGACAGCTGAATGACACCTATTTCAATAATATCTCTGCCAACGAAAATTGTTTTTGGCACGCGTGACCATATGATACTATTTAGTGCTTCATTTGGGTTTTGGGTTTTCCCGTGTAAACAATTTTTGAGTCACGTATCGTTTGTCAATTCTTTAAAAATAGGTTGCAGAAGTGCTTTGTTTAGTATTTGTTTTTCTATTGGATGACTTATTAGCTCTCTGTCCTTTTGAACAAAATCTACAGCAATTAGTAGCTTCTCGGGGGCAAAATTGATGACGTTCATAAGAACTATGCATATCAATAAAATGAAACAGAATAGCGTAAATGGTTTTCTTAAATGCATAAACTTCTGCACGGAGTCAATACACTTATTAGTTAATTTTTTTTTTCCTGAAATTGGGGTTTTGGTATCCTTGTAAGACTTCACATGGTTTCTCAACCTTGTCGCAAAACGTTTTTGCTTGTGCCCAATGTACTCAAATTTTATTTTTTAAACTATATTATGAAGCATATAAGGGTTTGATTTGAACTTATATTCTACACCTTATATTCTAGTTGCAACTGAAGGGTTTGATTCAAATTCTAGTTGCAACCTTTCCTTAATCTTACCATACAACATTGGAAGTTTACGAGTCTAAATGTTAATGCAGATTTGACAGTGAATTTATTATTTACTTCATCAATAAATTCTTCAGCTCCTTTATTATACAAAATTTCAAAAGGTAGACCTAGATTGCACACAAACTTTGTTAAATCTAAGTCAAACTTTAATTTATTTGGATCATTTAACCAAATTTTTGATTTTTCAATATACTACTTTCGATTGTTGTTGTTTTGGCGTCTTTTACTATATCAAGCTTTCGTTTGTTAGGTGCCTCGATGTTTTTTAAAAGATGTTCCTTCCAAGATGTTTCATATTTGGTTTTAATATGGTCGGTTATCGTTGATGTACTGCCACAGTTTATTTTGTAAGATTTAAAGTAAATTTTACATTTAACTTCAAACTTATTCAGTTTTTCAAAGAATTTGCAAATCTCACTTTCTTTCGGCACTTTCAATTTAAATAAAGTATGAATTGCTTGTATAATAACCGGACTAAAAAAAATAAAATAAAAAAAATTATACACATTTTTGTTTTCGTTAAGTAGCAGATAACTAAGTTGATAACAAGAAGTATAAGATTAGAAAAGATTAAAATTAGATTAAAGAAAAAGTAAAATTCACAAATGAATTTAATTAAAGGCTTGTTCAAGTTTGAACAAACAGTTTTGTTAATGGAAATGCTTACAATAGTTTGTATAAATTTCAAACTATTATAAAAAACAAAATATATTTGAAACAGTAAAACATATTTTTAAAAATATTTTTCTAAATTAGAAAGCAATGTTCTTATAATAAAAAATTATACAATATATTTTAATTTTTAAGTAACAAAAAAAATTACAACAGTTTAGAAAAAAGTTCAATTTACTCACATGTTACAGTACAATTATATCATAACTACATTCTTTCCTGGTCCGCAACATTTGCCATAGTCTTGCGGCACTATTTTGCACATTGCACATTATTATTTTGTACATTTCACATTTATTGACTATTTTGGAGTTATGCTTACAGTCTCATCTTTTTGACTTATTTTTTTTTCCTGTGGTTTAATAATACTAAACTTTAATAAATAAAATATATAAAAAAAATTTATAACTAAGTTTTATGATTTTTAAATTTTTATATCGGTTTTTCAGGTTTGTTTGGTTTCGGTTCGGTTCGGTTTAATATTTAAAATATTTTGATCAGTTCGGTTCGATTCGATTTTTTTAATTCGGTTTTCACCGAAAGAACGGTTCGGTTTGGTTAACCGCGTTACCTTATTTACCTTACACATTTTGGAAAGTTTTGCATCTCTTTTCGTGGAGCTTTTCTGTGGAATAAAATAATTTAAGCAATTTTTGATATTTTTAAGAAATGTAGATATCCCTCCTTTAAACAAAAACTAAAAAATATTATATTTTCAATTAATAAAATATCTATGTTTTTTTAATATTCTGATTTTAATTTTTCTTATTTTGTTTTTTCCAGAAAAATACTTTACTGTTAAAGTTATAATATATTGTAAACAAATACTGTGTTCTTATGTATTAATTCTGTAAATTTTTCTGGAATAATGTTGTTTATAGTTTAGTGAAATATACTTTGTAAAAAATATTGTATATAAAGGTGTATATTTATGTGGATATATGTATGTGTGTATGCATATATATATGTATATATATATATATATATATATATATATATATATATATATATATATATATATATATATATATATATATATATATATATATATATATATATATATATATATAATATATATATATATGTGTGTGTGTGTGTGTGTGTGTGTGTGTGAGTGTGTGTGCGTATGTATGTCTATGTGTAAATGTATGTGTGTATATGTATATATGTATGTATGTATGTATGTATGTATGTATGTATGTATGTATGTATGTATGTATGTATGTATGTATGTATGTATGTATGTATGTATGTATGTATGTATGTATGTATGTATGTATATATGTATGTGTGCATGTATGTATTTATGTATGTATATATTTATGTATATATGTGTGTATGTATTTAATATGTATGTATGTGTTTTATTTGTATATGTCTATGTATTTACTTGTGTTCATACAAATGTTCAATATGCACATATGATGTTGTGTAAGTGAATCGTATTACCTTCAAAACTAACCTACAAAGTTGCTGCACGTGGGTCACAGAAGAACTTTTAGAAATCACCAAGTGGAAAATATTTATCATATGACAATAAAAATCTTTCAAATAAAAATTCGACAAGATAATCGTGATATAATAATCAATACGCGACAAAGACTAAAAATAAATAAATAAATAAAGAAAAAAAAAAGATAGACTTAATCTATTTAATAATGTATATGCAAAGTTGTTTTACAATTATTAGAAAAATTATTAATTTTGAAGAAAAAAGAAAAATTCATCACAAAAATTAAGACATGCTGATAAGAAGCAGTCGAATTATATGAGTATACATCAACTTTTATTGAAGCATCAAACTTTAGCGGTCATAAATCAACATATATTGCGGTTTATTACAACATATTGGAATGTTATTGCGCGTTAAATTTAAATTGCTATATATTGTTCAATTAATTGTCTAATAAAATATCAATAAAATTATACAAATGTAATGTATTTGTAAATGTAATTTAGATGCATTTTAATATAAATAATTCTGATGCTTTTCTAATTGCCCGTGTTATTTTCTTGTTTTACATAAATTTAATGCGTTTATAAGCAGTAGCAATATTGTTGTTAAAGTATTACAATATTATTGCAGTATTATTGCAATATTATTACAATATTATTGCAATGCTATTGCAACTAATATTAGGTAATCGATTTTATGATTGTAACTGAAGTTACAAGCATGCTTTCATTGCAGTGTAACGACTTTACACTGCAGTGTAAGTGGGGCCAGGCAGGTTTGTTTGGCCGATGTTAACCATCGTTTACATGTGCCCAGCATACCTGTCTGGCCACACAAGATACCCGTGGCAAAAATAACAGTTATTTATCAGTCGATTTGTAAAATTTTATTAATGGTGAATATATACGCAATGAAACGCATCTTTTTTAACAGAATGTACGAGAGAAGAATTTTACATTCTACAGTTGAGTCTACTTCTTCTGAAGAGGACATTTCTAAAAGAAGCTCCCAGTCCAACTGTAGCAATACAGATGATAATGTTTACGATGGTAGTTTTACTCAGGAGATAGAAGAAGTTGTATCTATAGTATCTGAGGAAGAATCAAATGCTTCTATGTTTCAGTTTTTTAGTTTTAATCCATTTGAAAATTCTTTATTTAATCCACTTGTTAACAAAACGTTTATTTTTTTAACCTTGTTGTATTTATTGATTAGCAATTCATTTACTGAAATTGCATTTAATAGATTTTTAAAGACTTTGCTGGTATGTAAAATGTAATCTACATTGTACAATATACTTTTAAATGAACATTGTCAAGCTAATAAAATTATCAACTAACTTAGCCCTTGACAATAAATGTTACTCTGGGTATTTAGCTTTGGCTGCCAACAGAAATGGTGAACATTGCCAACAATTTGTAAAAAAAAGTCTGATAAAACTTTCACAACTAAAGAGTTTTATAATTAGAAACGTTCTGCATTATTGTCTATACATATTTTCATTAAAACTGGTGGCTGGTGCCTGGCCCAGGCCCTAGGTTTGGTTGATAAAAGTGTACTCTCCCATACTGAACCAACGCATAAATATTATTGTCATAATTGCTGCACAGCTTTAATTGACACATGTAAAATAAATACTCATTGTTTATCACATATCTTTATATTGGATATCATTAGCCAAATAAAAATTGTTTTATCTCAGAATTCGGATGCAATTAAATCATACCAAATGGAAAGTATATCGGGTAAAAGAAAGAGTGATTTTATTTCCAGACAAAATTTTGTTGAAAATATGAAGTCTACAAATCTTTTACATATTCAATTATTGATGTCAACTTATAGTGAAGAACCAACAAAGAAAAAGATTACAATGTGGTCATTTCAAGCCATTATTTTGAATTTACCATCTTATAAACGGCTCCTATTTGAGAATACATTACCTCTTGGTTTATAGTTCTCGTCATTAAAACCAAATTGAGTGCTTATTTGAAGGTATTAAACTATTAATTATTATTTTTTATTTTCAAAGTAGTCAATTGATTTACCTATAGCAGTAGAATTTTTTCATTGTTCCAGCCGTGACAAAAAATAATTAGGCAACGTTACTATATTACTAACTTTTTTTTAGGAGTACATCAATGGAAAATTGTTTGAAAAACCCCTTGAAATTAACAGTATCCAAGTTGTTATTCTTATTGTTGGTTTTGTTTTCGATGCAGTGGCTTCAATCATCAATCATAAGCAGTATAATGGTGAATTTGGATGTCACTATTGCAAACATCCTGGTAGAACAATTGAAAAATAACATGATTCAGCTAGAATTTATTTTCATTCAGATACAAAATAAAATCTTAAAACATTTGAAATGTATGCCAAATATGCTAGATTAGGCAAAAATTCAAAAGTGTCCGTATTCGGAATTAAAGGCTCAAACATTTTTAGTGAAGTTTTATTTATTAAAGTGCCAGATATGATACTTATTGAAGTGTTACATTTGTTTTACGAAAATTGCTCGAAAAAATTTTTAGTTTTTTTACTTTTTGTTACCAATAGACGCAAATCATTTTTTATTGGTAGTGGTGCAAAATTAAATGCTCTGGAAATCTTACTTGCTGACCAAAAAGTGCCACACAACATGCCCAAACCACCAATTAGGCCATGACTTTAAAAACTTTATTTTATATTTAGCATATTTTCTACCATATTTGAATCCTGACTGCACGACAATGATTTATTATCTAGTAATTGGCATGCGCTTGTCTAGCAGTGAAATATGTTTAGATAAAGTATTGCTTATTAGTCAGCTGTTTGACTTTTATCAAAAATCAATGTCCGAGTTGCTTCCTTTGTTTATGAACTTTATCAATGTTCATCTGCTTGGTCATATTAGCGATATTATTAAAATGCATGGATGCGTTACAAATTAGTCAATGCTTTGTTTAGAAACTCGTCTAAAAATATTGAGTAATCAAGAGAGGAGAACACGTGCTGTTTAATATATTGTTAGTGACTAAAAACATTATACATTTAATAGTTTTTACATATTTAGTTTTATACATTTAAGTATTAAAATTTATGTATTAAATATTGAA